ATGTAACGTAATAATCACTAACTCAACTATTTTAGCACATAAAAACTATGATTTCACAGAGTAAGTGTGAAATGTGTTTTTCTCCGTGATGATAATTAAAATAAATTTAAAAAGTTTATCCTTCCAGTTTCAGAATCAACTTATCATTGTATAAATCGATATTCAATATTAACATTTCATATTTCCTAAATACCAATTACTTCTAGCTGAAGAGTGAAAAACATCCTGGCGAAAGGGAGTGATTAAATAAGTTCAGCTTTCCGAACTTTTTTAGTTTAAATAATGTAAGAGGTTTACCGTGTTATTATTAGTTTGAATTTCATAAGGAAAGTAAACAGTAATAGATGTTGAGATGATTGTTCGAAAAATTAAGCAGTGAAATTGTATTATATTATCAATGAAAGTGTTTCCCCTAAAAGTTTAGAGATAAAGCCTATGAAAAAATAATCCTCATGAATTCAAAATAAAAATTATATGTGGAAAGAGTTTATTCATATAGTTTAAATTTGATAGTAAAATGGAATTTAATTAATAGAAAGATGAACTAAATTTCCGATAAACTAAAAATATAAGTTATTTTGTTCTCAGTTAAGAAAACATGTAGGATAAAGAATAGCTTACTCTTCTAGGGAAATCCACTTGACGTTACATGTTTAGAGAAGTTCTTCATATTGAATTTGCTTCGTAACAGTTAAAATCTTTAATGATGAGTCATTGCATAAATCAATGAAGGGGTTTCCACATTTTACAACATATAACGGTGAAAGGGATCTAAATATGTATTTTTATACAACATACAGAAATCCATATGGGGTTTTATAATTTGAAAACAATACAATTTCAGTAACATCGTTGTGTTTAGTAGATATTATTGGTTAAGATTTTTAAAAAATGCACATATGTTTATTTAGAAAACAGAACTCAGTAACTATATTTTAACCTTGAGATACACGACTGTTTATGAGAAATACTTTGAATCAACTATTCAAATTAGAAATAGGATGCTTCATTACGTGACCTGATAGTTAAAAGTCCAGTCTTGTATACTGAACTTCGGCTCTATTGAAAAATGTATGGGAAGCATAGTTTAATTGAATTAAGCATCAAAAACCTCTAACGTCCAAACGTAGATAACTGACATTCTTAATGCTTTTAAGAATAAAATTTCAACCGATCCTATTTATTTGTGTATTAATAAAATTAAGTGTTACAAGTTAACATAATACATTGTCAACTATATATTACTACATAAAATATAAAAACAATGTCTCGGTATTTTGTTTACTTTCACAACAAGTATACATACATTACTATAAACGGAACAACTGACAGTGGAATCGATTTTGGTCAATAAGTTGGACAAAAAAATGTGTTTAACTTTTTAATATTTTCAGATTATAGAATTGAGTATTCTTATGTGATTTAACTTGGGTAAAGTTTCTAAAAAATATATAATTAATTACCAACTAATTTATGATGAATTATCAATCCCAGAACTTCAACTGCAGTTAGGAATTTATTTGCAACATTCCAATCTCCAAGTAAATGCACTATCTTCATTTAAGCTGATGAATTTCCACCATATATTTTGATTATCATTATAAAGAAATAAGTTGTTCCAATCCTTTTATTATTATGACAAACTAGGTTCAAGATTGAAAATAATAATCATTTTAACAGAATAACATCGTTTATAAACCATAAGTATTAATGGATTAAACGTACAAGGTATAAGATGAAAGTAATGATAATAAAATGAACTACTGATTGGGCATAATTGTTCTTTTACTAATTATATGATTATGTAATTATAGACAGAGGAATTCGTTAAATTCAACAATGCTAAGATAAACACCAAATCATGAAACACGTTAGAATAGAAGAATGAATAAAACAAGTGATGGATGATATAATAATCATAGAACGGAAGAGACTATACTTCAAAAAGTGATTTGTAAAAATTTCTGTCATCAGCTACTATTGATAATTATAAAACTCATATTTTATAATTTACACTATGTACACAACTAAGCCACTAAGATATAACTTTGTATACTTTACAACATTTTGTTTGTGTGAGGGCGGCCTGCTTGAGCATCTGGGCTACCTGTTCCTGCCATCCAGATATTTCAACAAGTTATCTATTTTTGTTTTTCTTAATATATCAATATGTTTATTAATCGCATAACCTGTCCTGCTGCATTTCTGAAAAGTGTACAACCTTTCGTTGTCAAAGTTACAAAAAACTCAATAAGAGACAATGTGGTTGCTGGCAATATACAGCGAAAAGAACGCACATTATTCAGATGTTCATTTACTGAACTACTAACATCTAGCTGGCGATCACTCAATATTTATCGCCAGGACCGATCAAGAAGAAAGAAACGGAAACTTATTGAAATACTTTACGCTGAGAATTCTATATTGTACCAAAAATATAATATTGAATAAAGCTGATGATAATAATAATAATAATAATAATAATAATAATAATAATAATAATAAGTTCATAAAGTCTCTACTATTATTGATGACATACATGGAAGTCAAGTGACTTCTTTATCCATATTATTATTATTTATAAGTTGAGGTTTGCTAATTCAGAGTCTCGATCAAGTATTATGAAGATAAATACGATAACTAACGTCTATATATAACAGTCTATGAGGAAGATTTGTAGATCAGGTAGATGCTCTTGGTGTCGTTGGGCTCTTTGAACTAGATAATTTAATTTCCAATCAGGACAATATCGTTGTCGATTTCACGTACAAGTAAGCCTCTGGTTATTTCACTTCTACTAGTCAAGTGCTGATTATATTGTTCAGACTGACAAAAAAGGCTCCGCAACTAAAAAAACATCTAGTTTAAAGAAATCAACACCAAAAAATTACACAACTCTACTTGGTATCATGTCTATATAGTAAGAGGTATCTATTTTAGGGTACACTTGAAAAAGTAATTTGATCATCACGAATCGAAATCAGTTGGAGTGTCGTGAATGAGAACTCAAGTGGGAAAACTAATTTATTGTTTAATGAAAATCACACAGTGACACAGTAAAATATGAAAATCAAACATTAAATATACCATTTGCATATCCTCTTTGAAATGTCTGTTGCAAACCGCGTCGTTCCTCCATTCCTATTGGCTGATTTCAGTTTTCTTCTCTCTTCTCTTCATTTTTCTCTTCTGTTAGTAAGAATTCCAATTCTTATGACTGATACATACTACTTATATATGTCTGTATACGTAGCACACACCGCGGGAGAACCAATAAAAACCAAGGACCCATCGTTTATCCTAATTTGGGTCGGGTTAATGGTGTACATTCGTAACTTAAGACAGAACCCAAAACCTTTATGTCTCATATGATAAGCCATATATTCTAGAAATTGCTAGAAAACTGAGTTCGATGTTCTTAGTTAAATTTCTGAACAGTGCGAAATACGACAACTATTCATCACTTACAGAGAGGCCTATAATCATGGTTAGATAAAAATACGGTAGACAACTGTCTAAAAGGTATTTACTAAAATTCTGTGAACTAATCGATTGAAATCTTATCTCTACTAGGCCCTTTCACAACAATAAGTGGAATAAAATCAATAACAGAAACAATACTAGCAGGAAAAACAGCAACATGAAAGACAGTAGAAGGTTGCTCTTTTCCACTACAAGTTTGTTAGCGATGGTTTCCATTGTGTACTTTAGTTAGTGGTCATACTTCGTAGTTTATCTGGTAGACATTACGTAGACCACTAACTCAGATCCACTTCGTACCCGGACTTTGCTTCAAGTGTATTTATTGTCATGTAAATAATGAATTTATCGTTTACGCGGAAATAATTTAGGCAGTGACATGATAATACTAATAAGGGGAAACGTTCAGTAGGCTGCTGAACAGGTAACACAAAATTTTTTTTATTCACTAGTAAAATGAACAGAAAATTATATAGACTACACTTTAATCATCCATAAAAGAGATAGAAAATCAAATAATCAGATTACCGCTAATTGTAAATAGCTTAAATTTGAAAATTCTGTTTATGGCATAACCAGTTAATGGACAAGATTAAGTAAATAATATGTTTTGTGGAAAATATTTAGTTACATTATATGGTTATAGAAACGATTTCATAGGATCAGCATACAATTGGATTATATCGTATAACTGACACTCATCGACATTACTTTGTCTAGTTGGTGTTATTCACACGTGTTTATCCCTAATAAACAATACAAAAAAAAGTATGTCAAGCCTCAAGATGCTTCCTGTTAAACATATATATTATTTGAAATAACGAAGTATATCAAACTATAATCTATAACTATTATGTATTGTATTGAGATTATTAAGGAGCAATACTTAAGCAATAATTATTTAATGAATCAATGTTTACAGAATTTCTGTAAAAATAAATACCATTCATCTCAGCACTGATTAACAGCTTATCATGTTCTTAAATATTTAAGCGTGAACAAAGATAACAGTACAACTCATTTACCGAGGAAAGGTTAGTGAAATTAGTTTTAAGCAAGTTTTCTTAAAAGTGAATGATACAAAGCAACCACACAAACTGAGGTAGATGAAACGGGTTCGGAAACAGATATTTAATTCTTAAAATCTGAACTAATAAGTAAATACTCTATAACAAAACTTCAAGTGATTTAAAAGTTTGAGGAAGTAACTAGAACACATAAAACCATTTTAAAAGGAACCTATGATAATGATACCTCATCAATAGAATATTAATGCCACGTGATGTAAACAATAGGCATTACTGCAATTTTATTAGGATTAGTTTTTAATCCAATTAGAAAGCAAATGATGAATAATTACTTTACGACAACTAAGAAATTAGATAACGTATAGATACCATAACTATAAAGATCCCCTGTTCTATCATGCTTCAACTTAACTTTTAGCAGTAAAGATCTGATACAGGACATGATAGAGAGAAGAAATAAGACAAATAATTTCATATTACAAATGTACTTACTTCTACACCGATATGATTTAGACGATTGAGGTAATAGCGTGTATTCTCACTCTGTAAGATAAAAAATAGAACCAAATATAAAATAGATGCTAGAACAAATAGGTGGAAATGTATTTGATACAGTATTAAATATAATAAAAAACATTACTGAAATAATAGTCGAATTGTAAGGACAAAGATGGATACATAGTAACTAACACAATATGTACACCTGGGATGTATCCGTATAGTCGTCTGAATTACGTGTATATGTACGAAATAAGAGGAAATACTTAGTCAACCCTAGATATCAGGATGGATACATTCACACAGTAGTTATGATTAGGTTTTATCTTGGAAATTAATCAACTAGCGTATTTATATATACGTTGGGATAAATAATTTTATAATAGTAATCGTATGAATTTTAAAACTAATCGAAATTACAGTTGAATTCACCACTCGATCGAAGTCAAACCACCACTGAAAACCTGGAAGCACTGGACGGCCGTTTCATCCTAGTATGGGACTCCTCAACAGTACGCATCCACGATCCCAGCTCGTGAGATTCGAACACAGGACTTATCAGTCTCTAGACCACTAAGCCGGCATACAACGGTGCTAATGTCTAACTTCAACCAATCCACGAAATTGCGCCACCGTCCACTATTACATTATTTAATTATTTACAGAAGGAAAGTAAGTTCGATCGAACTAGAAAAATGAAAAGTTATATGCTTGTTAGTTTGAGGTGGTTACAAAAAATTCAGGCCGCTACCAAAAGCCTACATTTATATGACAGTTATATGACCTAGCCTGACAAATATATTTCGTGTGACTCACCGAAGTATTATACTACAGCTCTATGCTAGTATCTGAATATTTTTCATCTGTGTGATCATAGATGAATATTAGAATCAACCTAATACGACCATTATCTACTTGAAAAAAGTGTGCCCAACAGTAAGTTGGAGTTTTTAATGTTTACATAACATGATAAACTAGATAAAAGACCAAACTTAGAATGTATGACATAGCAACCCACGAACAGAATGTTTTTTGCTTAAAGTTAATTATATTAAATCAAAATTAGGTCACCTGATTAAACTAATTCAATGTAACTGGCATTGTGTACTATTCTGAGAAGGTTCATACTATAACGGGTTAAATAATAGGCAAAGCTGAACTCGCGAACTATCGTACCAGGAGTTACTATTTATATTTCTGTTGTATCATTATTAGATACTTAAACTAGAAGCTGTCCACTTGCTGTTGTATTCTACTCGGGCTATGGGCGGACAAGTGTGGGGAGCTGCCTCCTGTTTTGTTCTCAGATGTTATTTCACTACTCTCGTATCACTGGCTAGCTGAAGGTCATCAATACTGGATAGACAGTTTAGGCGAGTTAATCAATACTCGGACCAGATCAGCACACTTGCTCTTCTGTATTACGGTCCTATCACATGGGCCCCGAAAATAACACACAGGAAAGATATTATTTTGCCAACACATCAATTAATTATACTCACGAAAGTAAGAAGTTAAATTTAGTCATTTTTTTAAAATCTACACTTGGTGTAATTATGTTTACATTAAAAGGATGATGAATTATAAGTGTTTTGACTGGGAGGTTACAAAAGAGGATGATTTGATAACATCAACATGGTCTTAATCATTAGTACTTAGACAGTTTTACAACGGACTTGTTCTCACTATATCACTGACTCCTAAATTTACAGTAGGAACAGCAAATCCAAGACGGTTCCAGGTCGTTTAAAGAATGTGTTATCGATAATTCCGACAACCGGCAGGTTCTAGGATGAAGATGAAATTACAAATATTTTACACAAACTATATCCTCCCATATGACGAAAGTAGTTGACTAAATTCATTTCAGGAAACATACTACTGCAGGGTTTCGTATGAGAATCAAAGTTGTGTGAAGATTTATTTATTCTTAAAGAAGAAGAGAGCTGGTCAGTACCTCAATGTCACTATTTTCTTCACCTACATTGCAGACATGAGATTTAATCAAGAAGATGGCATCAATCTTTCTGAACCATTATTTCGGGGATCTATTTACATGTCTTCGTTTCAGTTCACTTTAACATTCCATTCTTTTTAATGAAAATCTATACTTATGTTATTATGTATAGTATATAGCAGACTGACTTAACCATCGGTGATATCAAGTTTGATTTTGCATTTAACACGGAAAATTAGACACAAATGAAATGTAACCAAGAGATTGTTTTACACAGTAAATTTACAACCGAAAATTGATTTTATTTTAAACAATTACCTAGCAGAAGTCAAATACGAACATGTAGGTAAAATAAACTTCTCGTTCATAAAATAAACACAACCACAAATCACTGTTAAAACTATCACTCAAACGTAACTAAATAACTGTTGAAACAAGGGATGTTAACAAAAATATGTAACTGTGAAGAAAATAGAAACAAGGAAATAGAATGATTTGGAGGTTGTACCTCTCCATCAAAACCGATACATGCCCATTCGTACTCATTTGTAAAGGATTTTTATGTTTGAATACAAGTACATACAAGTTATCGTTTCTCATACAAGATTATGCTGTTTTGGGCTAGATATTTTCATACTACATTCAATAAATATGAAAACTAAAGTCATAACACTCAGGGCACATTATTATCAATACCATGTGCATAACCTAACGCATGTAAACTAATTCAATTTCTCATACCACATTACACAGTAAGATAAAATTATTTTGAGGCGAGTCCCAAAGTAGTGGTATCAGTATCATTAGTAGCAAGAAACAAGATGAGTTAAGGAAAAATAAACAAGGTATAGGTAGATTTCAGGATTGAGGATTTAGAGGAAGATAAGGAGAAATCCACCTTCACCACTCCGAACCATTCTGATCGATGTCACCCAAAGACTCTAACCATTGGCTACGACAATCAGACAGACCCCAAACAGTAAGTCTCCACCTATTACCATGCCTCATCCCAGTTCTCAGGGTCTTCATGGACTGATACTATGTATTCGTTTGACTGACCCTAACTCCCACACCAGAAAACATCTCTCGTTCACGTAGACGGTGGTTGGGTATACGTAACACGTGTTCCGACCACCTCAGTTGAAGATCTACTACATTATCAATCGATTTGCCACCTTCACCAAGTACCCTACTCACAACCTCGTCGTTGCTCACTCAGTGGTCTCAAAATACACGAGCGATGCTTTGGAAATATCTATGATCAGTAATAGTGACCTACGAATATCCTCTCTTTACCAAAGAATGACTTTAAACAGCTCTTGCATATGCGTATGAAGGATGTCGTATTAAAAGTATGTTTGTGACTGTTTCAAGCAACAGATTTGTTACTAATATACCTGATATACAGGATTGCCTCGTTAATTATCGTCTTCATCTTTGTCTGTTCAAAGATGGTCATGGATATATCTGCCAAGATCAGGCCTAACAGACTCCCCATAGAGCCTCCACCAACTTAGCGATATAAGGTATTGTTAATTTGGGAGTATACATCTTTTGTACACATTATTAAAAGCTGTTTGAAGTCATTCTTTGCTAAAGGAGGTAGGCAAGTGTATTGCTTGCAACAGTCAAACATGCTACTAATATGCTGAATCTTCTCAATCATGAATATCTGAATATATGATTTAGAAGGCAGCATGAGCAGGACAATATGTTTTATTCTTCAAACCTTGGTATCCAACGTAATGGAATAGGTCGAATTCAAAGATTTATTCATCAAAAGGATACATGGAATGGACTTTATTTGAATTTTAATAGCTGCTGTTTGATACGCTATAAACTAGCTTTAGTAAGAACTCTATTCTATCGAGTACGAAAATTATGTTCAGAGGACGAAATTGAAGAGTAATTAATCATGGTTAAGGTGTAATGATGATCAAGGACAGTTTATTAATAAATATTGGAGTGGAGTACGTGTCGGATGTGAAGAGGCTTGCTCGCCAAAGACAATGGAAAATGGTCGCGCAGTATCGTGGATTGATTGAAGTTAGATACTAACGCCGTTGGACGCCGGCTCAGTGAACTAGAGGTTAGATGTTCACGCAAAACAAAGGGTAATAGGTTTAAGTACCGTGTGCGGATCATGGATGCGCACTACTGAGTCCCATGCTAGAATAAAACGGCCATCCAGTGTTTCCATAGTTTCAATGAAGGTTTTATACTAATCGGTTCGTGATTTCGATGAAATATTGGAAAATAAGACTGAAAGTAACAAAGAGTGCCACAGTGGGAAAAAACCTGTCTTCATACGATTTGTATCTAAAAGTGACGAAGTATGTTGTAATATTGATTCTGGACTAACAGCTTCATTGAAAAGGATTTATACAACAGCAAAACTAGTCTCGATATATGAAATAGAGTGCTCGCTTAGATATTCGAAAGTGGACAAGTACTCACATTGTATTACTTTTAATTGTATATACCAGTTTATATGTTACGTATCGAAGCACATAGATTAGAAGAACAGAAAAGAGAATTAATGTTCGTATCAATGAGCATATTCCTTAAAAAGCTGAGACTGACAGATAAACACGCCCCCAAAAGTTCGATTATTCGTCATCTACTTGATAGTGGACACGAGGTCGAGATTTCAAAACAGTTCAAAATTATTAACAGACAAACAGATTCGAACTTATAACGTCTTACCTAACCAATTGCTATCAAAAGACGTAAACCATACTTATGTGTTCGAAAGGACACTCTTGCATTGCACTAGTGGCTTTCGTTTGTGGCAATTCTTGTTTACAATTTAAAGTTTTTTCTTTTCATACCTTTTTGAGTTTTCCCTGAGCTACGCTTATTTTTATCAGTCCATTTCTCGTTGTTGTTATTAAGTAACTTTGAGAACCAATCTTTTCTCTCATAACTTTCACATTATTTATTATATAAATATTCTACCATTTGAACGCTCTCTATAATTCTTTCATATTTACTAGTTTTATTTATTCTTATCGATGAGAACAATTCTGATATTATGACTTAAAGTGTGTACACTGATTTTTAATGATTAATACTACTATGTTTAGGTTGCATGCAGATGATGAGAAACCACGAAATAAAATGAACTCAGATTGTTCTGGTACGTTTTCTGTTCTTACTCTATCAAAAATTATATATTCGCCGGGACAAACAGTGCTTATCCCCTCTACTAAGAACACCTTTAAGAGACCCAAACTTATAGGAAGAGGTATTTTAGCCTTTCCTAAACTTTAAATATCGATTTTATTTAAGTTCACCAAGTTAATAGAGTCGGCAAAAACAATAAAACTCCAAAACAATAAATTATCAAGAAATGTATGAGAAACAAATTTTTCAATCAAAAGTATGCTTTGTAAAAGTAATTCAACTCACGAAATTCTCTGTAATAATTTTTGAACGTTGGTCGAATGCTAATCGAACACTTTCATCTCCCCAAATCGCATTCAGTGAAGGCACGATTTCCAGAAATTCTTCTTCCAACCAAAGTGGTTGACCAAGTCGAGAGCGCTCGCGACGCATCATTCGAGTTTCTTTAAAATGTGCCTCAATTTCTCTACTAGCCTGAGCAGCAGCGGAACCAAGTCCACCAGCCCATGGAATATTGAGACTTTCCCGTGCCTTACGAAGGTGAAATAAAAAAGACAGCGGAAAAGAATTTATTAAATATTGGGAATTTTAATACCAAACCGATAAGAACAATGATTGTCAATAAGGTTTACCAAATACCTTCCTAGATATATTTACGCTAAATTACTTTTATCTTCCTTTTAGTATTACTTCACAATCTATAGTTTTTAACCATATTAGGAAACAATAAGACTGTTGTTGAATTTTATATGAATGTAGTTGTAACTATGTCATTTGAGGGGCCATTCATAAGCAAACAATTATATACATAATAGAAAAGTGGATCGATCAGCCAACAATAATACTTTCATAAAACCACTTGTCTTTATTACCAATACAAAACGATATGTACATCATATATATATATATATATGCCATAATGAACTGTAATGTATTCAAGAACAACAAAAGTCTACTAGTAGTAAAAGTTAGAATGCTATACATCATCAAATAAGTATGACAACTTTCCAATATATGTCAACATGCTTGATCAGATAAAGCGAATTAAATTTTTCTAAGAAAAAAGCAATGAATTATAACACGAAATGTTTATCTATTATGGTATCGAAGCGCGAATCCGTTTTTGATTAGTGAGTATAGTGAGAAACTATAATCTGTATGATATGATGGATAGAAGAGCCAAGTCATATCTACGAATTGTAAACAATTAAATATAAATAAAATAATATATTTATAATATTCCGATGAGTAGAAAAATTAGATTTTCTTGCGTTTCGTTACTCAGTGTAAGACACTTCTTCAGAGAATATGTAACCACATCAAAATTAATCCAAGTTTAAATAATACAAAGGATCAAATAAATAACCTTGACCGGAATGACATGACACTGACTCGGTCAAATATGTTTCTGACTGATCACACCTAATATTCCTGCTTTGTTCCTTTGTATAATTTAAATGGGTTAATTTAATTTGGTTATTTATTCCCTGAAGTGGCTTACACTGAGTCACGAAACGTAAGACAATCTAATTTTTCAAGTCATTGGGATATTACAAATACATTATTTTATTCATAACGATCCACTCAATGCTCAATTTATTCGAAATTAACAAATCAAACCTTGTTGATGATAGCTACAAGCAATTACTCATATTGATGATTATAATTTTGATGTTGGTTATCGGGGATAGCACAATTTCTTCCTCTACTTATTGTTAACGTTAAACACATACCACTTGTGTGTTATTTTCGCAAAAAGACATTTTATCAAATAAATGTGCTATTTTCTACAAGGGGGTGTATGGGATAAGAGGGTCAAGTCAACTGCAAAGTCCGAATCGTCTAGCTGCATCCAAGTTGTCCATTGTACTCCATGCTTTCCCTCAGATGTCGAGGTCTACATAATCCAGTCAACCACCAGAAGAAAGAGGAAGAGGGAGAGTAAGCAGTCTTGCCTGATTCCGGTTGTCAATTGGAATGCACATATCAGCTGTCCCTCGTGCACCACTTTGCAGTGTAGTCCGTTGTATGAATTCCAGATGATGCTGACGATCTCAAGTACAATATGGTGTCGAAGAAGTTCCCATAACATTCTCCTATCCGCATTGACAATTACTTTCTCATAGTCAAGGAAGTTGATATGATTGATCCGGTTCTCTGTACTGTGATCCAGTCAGACCCATATAACTTTGTGTATGCATTTAGGGGAGAATATTGTGCCGCCTATAACCATGTTGTTGAATGCACATAAATTTGCAAATCTCTCGCCACTCTCGTTTTTTTCTCCCAGTTAGTCTATGTCGTTCCACTGTATCTTCATACCCAGTGCTGTTCATTCCGACTTTGGTGTTCAGGTCTCCCATCAGAATGGTCAGGTACTTTCCTGATCACTTAGCTGTGATTGATTGCGGCCTCTCATACAATTGGTCTTTATCGTCTTCGTTGCTATCATTGGTAGGTGCATAACACTGGATAACATTCATTGTGATCCCCTCCTACTTTTTTTTCAAGGATGCTTTGATGATTCTGGATCCATGGAATTCCCGTCCTCTAAGTGGTTTATATGCTTCCGTGGACAGCATCAGAGCAACTCTCTGAGCTTGTAGAGTATTTCCTTCTTCGTGACCCAAGTACAATAGTATCTATCCTGAATCTAACCTTTCCCTTCGAGCTACGGTTCAATGGGTTTTGCTGATTCCGGGAACCGACAAGCTGTATCTCCTCATCTCCGTAGCTATTTGGTTGATCCATCCAGTTTCCCACATTGTCCGAAGATTTGACGTGTCTATATTGATTGTTGCTCTGGTTTTTAGAAGGGACATCGGTCTTACGACTTCCGAAGAATTCGGGCTTTCAACCGGAGGCGTCATAATTGTTTCTTTAACTCGGGGGGCAGAATTTAAGTGGTTTTAAATGTGTGTTTTTCAAATCAGCGGTTTTTTAGCAAGGCTATTTTCTACGTGATGTGGCTGATGACCCCACGCTCAACTCTACTCCTTTGCACGGGCTTTGGACTGCCAGTAACCATAAGAAAACTGCAAGTGGAGCATAGAAGTGTGGAAGAAACGGAATCGAAACAATAAAATTGGTGACATTGGGAATTAAACATTAAGAATATAGTTGGAAAGGGATAAAATCGGATGATGGAGAGTACGAGATCTAATTCAAACCCAAGATTTAGAAGAAAATAAAGAATGAGTACACCTATGTCACAATAATAGACTCTGCGTCTTGTCATCAAATGCATATAACAAAGGATTGTGATTATTTTGAGGACCTAAACCGAAAAGCCTTCTTAGTCCCAAGTCCACTGACTTCATGGGCTAATGTCAAGTCTTGATGTTGCTGTACAATTCTTTTCAATCTACTGCAGAACAACCAAACGTTGTGCTTTCAATGTCTTAACTGTCTCAATCAATGAATTTTACAACCGAGTGAATCAATTAACCATTTCTATCGATTAAACGAGGACAAACCTCAGCATTACTTACTTGTTATTCCCGCTATATGTGGCCAATTCTTTGAAAGCATATATAATCAAACATCATAAATCTAATTATTTCGTTTCCCTTCATGACAAGATTTATTTCGTAACGATAAAAGAATACAAAATAAAACATTAAGCACATAAAATGGCTATTGTTGGGCATTTTGTGAGCACTACAAGTGGGATGAATTGATAGAATTCAGAGGCACATATAAAAAAATCTTATTAGAGATCAGACTGGTTGATTCTGTTCCGATTTCAACGCTTTGTGTGGCGTAAAAAACAGAGAAGTCAGAAGCAGCTGCTATCGAGTTACTCAATGAATGCAGATGGACGACCTGGATCTCAAACATGTAAAGAAAATTATGCGTACAGGTCATAATAGATTTCTTTAAATATAATAGTTCAGAATGTACATCTCGATAAAAATTAGATGGGGCTCCTGGTAGAAACTGATTTCAAACCGAATAACTCAAGCATTTTAACAGCTGATTTCAAATACCTCACTGATCATAAACGAAAAAGTTATGTGACTTCAAGGACTAACATCAACGATTAATAACGTAGCACATTTGTGCTATGTTTGATTGCGCTACCATGAGACTACTCATAGCTTGGTTATGCTTCGACCAACGAAGTATATGACAATTATCAGTAAGTGATCATGATGAAGTTATACCTAAACAATGTATGTTGATACAAATCAAAAACTTTAGCACGAGATTTATTTAAATTATCTGGAAAATCAAATGTAAACACTAAAATCCTTACACAGCAAAATCAAAACACGTAACGAATGATTCAAAAATATTAATAGTAAATTGACTTAAGTATTCTTCCATCACAAAAGTTGACCAAATAAAATGTTAACAAAAGCAATTTGTGCTGAGAAACAAAAGAAACATCTTTCTGGACGATAATTGTACAAATTATAAACATAAATGAGTCAAGACTTATTAGACAATCCAATTATTTAACCGTTTACTTCTGACATCAAATAACACTAAGTTTATTAAGATTGTTTCAAATATGCTTGTTGAGGAAAATTTATATCCTTAGAACTGACAGAGAAACTAAATATCGCTTAAGATTGCAAAAGTCACTGCTTCGAAAAAAATGGCCCCAGTTACGTGTTTATACATACACTAGTTAGTATGACTGTAAGCTTGACGATTAGAATAATTAACTGCCAACAAGTATCAAGTCCCAAGCCCACTTACAGCCACTGTAGCTTGTGCAGCAGGATAGTACCACTAGCTCTTGCACAAATAGTCTACTTCGAAGTTGATCATATCACCATTTACCATTAAAAAAGCTTATCAGTCAATGTAATAAAATGTATATCATTGAATTTCTAATGTATGTAAATATGTGGTTTTTTAAAGTAAACCACAATTTAAAAAATAACAGCTTTTAATCTCATTCCACATTTTATTAAAGTTTGATTACATTAGAAAAGATGCCAAATGTATCGATTTTTATGGTCATGTTCTCTTATTTAATTAAATATGCATACTGCTAACTTTATGCGAAAATGATAGAGGCCTCAAATGGCCAAAGAATCATTATATATATATATATATATATATATATATATATATATATATATTTCATCGCAAGATTTGAATAAGTTTTCTAGACTTTCGATTGGATACTTTGTTGACTGAAGTTTGAGACCCGAAGGTTGACTGCGGATTTCATTTGAATTGGATGAACCAAGTTGTTAAATAAACAGAAGAATATCCACTTAAATTAAGTGTGAACAGATACACCTTAGTCAGGTAAACTTCGTGAGAAAATTTTGTTTTCTGTTCACTTGGACACCAAAATAGTAATTTCTTACGTCATATTTCAAGTAAGCGAATGCCTAGTAGAATTATTAAGTACCAATTTGTTTGGTGTGAAATGTGGCAACTTGAACCGATGTATATATGTGCCTGGTCCTATGATGTAGCTGACTGTGTTTAATCCAGAAGAAATAGCTGGTCAACACAGGTACCTCCAGCTAACGAGTTCCAAATATAAAGGAAAAAGCGTCCTGGATTCGACTGACAGCCATATTCCACTTATTAAATATCAATATCTATATTATGGCTTTATAATACGCAAATGGTGTGTAGCTGAGGAGTTCCTGTTGTTTCATCCGATATTACTCCGTAAGTGTATCGACCCCTTTTGGTGAGTATTAATGATCATTTATGAGTGAGCTAACTATAATAGTATAGATAAATTTCAACTGTCATTTAACTTTGAGGCTTTTACACCTTGTTTACGGCAATCATCGTTGCTCGCCATGAATCAATAGATATGTAAACTCATTAGGATCAGTCATTAAGACTTTCCGCACATCAACTAGTCTGAATAATGCTATGGAGAACCACTGACGTTTGACTACAAAGAATCATTCCTCTTTCTTACCCATTCTAACATGACCTAAATAATTCACCATTTCGATTCAAGATTAAATCCCTTCCTCAACTCGAATGAAAAATATTTGAAATATGAAGGTCACTGACTTTAGTTATGCAACTCTCTGGTTAGCTTTCAAACAAGTTGAGATCTCAAATGACAAAAGTTTCAGTCAGTATGGGTTGACCACTCGTAAAGACATTACTTGGCCACTAAGCTAACGTAATATTTGATAGTTTTCGCCTTACATGATTATTTTTTGAAAAGTTTCCTAATAAATAACCAACTTCTGGGAAGTCAGACGAAAAATTGGCTATTTTTAAATGCATATCAATAAAATCTGAATATGAAGGGAGTGGATAGTTTTGATAAACACTACTTAGTATACCCGACTCAAATCATAGTTCTGACTCGCCCACAATTGAGTAGTGATGTGTTAATTTGGTGAGTCTTTCTGCGACAAAGAATACTACACAAATTACAAATCAGACGACAGACGTATTTATCATTATTTATCCGACAGATTCTTATTAAATCGACGGAGGAATTCGGGACTTGAGAATGTATTTTTTTCTGTTGGATTCGTGATTCAGTAGCATACACACTCCCGTTTTTGTTGTATAGTCAGATATTCAAATTCCACACCGACAAGCCAGAGAGCATAATCAACTCTAACACCACAGATTTAGTTTAGCATAGATATATAAAACGTTATTACGTTACGTTTATGCTTAGACTTTAGTTACAGTCAGTTTAGCAGTTTAGAACGACAGATATAAGAAACCAAAGATGGAAAACAAGTTTGCTAACCTGCAGTAGGAATAAAACACCTTTGTATATGTTATCATAGATAATATCTTTTAGCTGTTCGATTTCTTGGTTTGTAAAGTGCTTTCCATTAATGATTTTCATTTGCTTGAGAAAAGTGCTTTTTCCACTTTCACCAGTACCCAATAATAAGATCATTTGCCTTTGACGAAGACGACTTTTCTCCTTTTTCAGTTCTTTTTCTATTTCCCTGTTGCGTTTTTGCTGCCACTTAATGATTTCACGGTCGTCAATTGACTCTTTTGGAAATGCACAGCAAGCAAGGAATGACAAGGTCACTGACATTGGCTGTACATAAAAACCACGGAAAAATTATTGAAAGGACAATAACGCAGCTCAGTAACCAAGTACAGATTTGTGCACTAGGTTTTGAGCTATACAAGTTAGTCAATACGCCTTAATAAACAAACTCGGGTACTAACTCAATAGTAACCCCTCTGAGATTTGTTGAACAGTTGTTGAACCTATGAGATTTTTCAATGCTTCAAGTTGTAATTCTTTTCAATTTTACGAGTGAAAATAATGTTAGATAAAGTCAGAAATCCAAAATCAAACACATGATTTGTGTTTAAAAACAGAAGCAGAAAATAAGCATAAAAATTGATATGTTACCAAAGCCACTAAATGATAAAATATCGTTAACTATAGCTGGTTAACACACATGAAACCACTGATAAGAAAATGTACACAGAATTCCCAAGTTACTTTGTTACTGAGAGCAAAGACATATTTTATTGTTCCCGTAAAGAGCGGTATAACGGCTATAATTGAAGCTCGAAATCTTAATAACGGAAGAACAATTACTTGAGTGGTTTAGCGGGTTTCATGTCGTTAGTCGATATAATTACGAACTATCTGTTACTTATTCCATTAATTATTATCGTTTAAAACACATAACTATTGGCACAGGGGTCCATCAAAATATATAAGCGCCACACAGTAAAAACGAGATTGTGAAGAGATAGAGAAAAGAAAGTGAGCATAACAAGAAAACGAATCAAAAATGAATATAAATTATGGTATGAGAGTGAAATAATAATAACAATAATGGATGGAGCAGTTCAGTTAGGAAAAAGACAATCAGACAGGATTCTGTAAGTTATTCTAGCTTTTATGAAGTAAAAGAAAGTTACAGCATGATCGCCATTGGCTTGTATCCTCAGCCATGTCTGATAACGTTCCAAGCCATTGAAGTGCACCATCTCTAGGACCCAAAACATGGAATCGTGAGGGACGAACAGAATCCAGTCCTGAATACTTTTCTTTCATACCACGACCCTATGTCATTCACTGACCATCTTTACTCATTTTCCAACTAGTCCCAGCATCAGTAAATAATGCACAACGTGAAATTCGCTGGTACAACATTCAAAATGCATATCTAAGTCACCAAAGTCAGTGTTTCAAGAGGGTGAAATAATTGAACTATCATCACTGTGTCCGAACACACGTTGTCGAGCCTCTACATTAGCAAGACAGTCTTACCACTGGATGTCAGCAATCCTTCGGTGACAACGGTGATCAAACACAGAGAATCACTTAACATACTCAACTTGGAGGGGCTTGGTTTCACAAAAATTGAGAGAAACTGTTCTCACTAACACACTGTAAATTCGAACTTTTAGAGCCAAAATTATATCACGAAATCAACAAACATGGTTCAGATCAACATAAGCCTCTCTGGATTTCATTATACGTAAACTGACCTCATCCCTTACACCATCATTTGCGCTTATACAGATACTCAGATTCACGAACATCTTGACTACTTCTATCTCTTCACTGCCAAGAGTGAATGCGGACAGTGTCCTCTCGGTCTTGCCAATGTACTTTGCATTTCGAAGTTTCAAAGAATATATCACACCAACGGAAGTTGATTCCCAACTGATTAAGTGAAGACTACATGGCTTGAGTATTGTTGCACAGTAAGACAATATCATCCGCATACTCAAGGTCGAAAAGTCTTTCTCCAGGCAACAGATCCACACCACCTTTACCTACATCCATCAGAGCTATTTCCAGAACGTCATCGGTGGCAAAGTTGAATAGGAATGGTGAGATTGGGTAACCCTGCCTAACTACATTGCCTGAATGAACCAATAGAGAGGTGATTGTATGGCTTCATTCTACCTGAAGTGTTCGTATATAGGGCTTTCAAGATGTTAATAAACTTTCCGGGCACACTCTTTTTCAATAGATAATCCCAGAGAACTGTCCTGTCCAACAAATCGAAGACGGCCCTAATTTCAAGAAACATTACGATTGTTGACAAGTAATAAGTATGACGGTGTTCTCACATTTGGTGGAGCCTACTTACTTACTTACTTGCGCCTGTTACTCCCAATGGAGCATAGGCCGACATTTGATGGAGGGTGAAGATATAATCAATACATTCTCGACCAGAACAAAAATCAGCCTGCTCCTCTTGAGTCAATCTTTCTCAGGTCTCAAACAGTCCACAAACCATAACAGAAGCCAATAGTTTGGACGCAATCGGAAGTAGACTTATCCCCTGACAGTTGTTCCATAGGTGATGTGAACCTCTTTTAAAAACAAGGATAACCGTCGACTCATTCCACTATGTTGGAAAACTCTCTAATTCCAAGATATTTATAAACAACTCAGTCATTTCCTTAACCAGCACACCACTACCTTTAAAACGAGCCGGAGGCAAGTCATTTTGGGATGGTGAGTCGTGGCGCTTTAAGAATTGAAGTTCCTAGAGCACTTTTACCTCATTAAACGGATCAGTCGATACTGGCCATGCTTCGAGGAGTCGTAAGACACTAGTAGATACCCGATGTTTATAAGCGGGACATTTCGCAGAGCTGGTATCATGTAGTTGCATCTAATGTTCATGTACAACTTTTGGTGGGTTGATAGCCAGCCTTAAACCTAGCCCGGTTCGATATTTATTTGCAACAGAAACTGTAGCCAGTTTGCTGACATTGATCTGTTAACACTTGAATTTGTCGGTCACTGAAACGTAAGATAAGGTTAACGCGAACAAGCGCATGATCCGATTCCAGTTAAGTACCCCAAAAAAGAGGCAGTCTAGTGCACAACGACACTAGCGGTAGCTGATCACAATGTGATCATTTTGGGTCCAGGCTTGAGATGCAGAGAGAGGAAGCCAGATGGCACATCGACGATGACTGTACCGATGGTTGAAGGTAGTCGACAAGCAACCCTGGACCCGGGTTTTGTGCTACTTGGCACTCGTCAGCAAGGTGTACCTGTAATCTTGAGGGAACTGGTGCTCCATGACAGGTTCCATCCCGTTTCATCCAGCTTCACAATCAGAGACGTTACTACAGCTATCCGGGCCGCGACCGACCTCCCGTAGTACTGAGGTGTAATCACAATTGATTGATCACTGGGTGGTGATCAATGTCATGTGTGTCAAGTCCTTATTAGTGCAGATCGAATGCTATCGACCAAGTAAACGATGGCCAGAAACAGGTTGTAGTTTGTGTTAAGTTGCAGTAGACGATCATCGTTATCTGACCAGCGACAAACAAGTCCCCATCAGCTACCCAAGCCTCTTTTCTCAGTGCCTAGACGCTCAGCCTGTGCATTCAAGTCTCCGACTCAATAATTTATTCTTGGAAATCAGTAATCAGTGGGGCACCGGGAAAAACAGTAAAAGGTTCACTATTATCCATTCTTTATATCAATGAATTTTCAAGTCACATCAAGTTTGTTGATATAAAAGTATGGATAGAGTTACAGTAGTATGTGAATATACGAACACTCCAGGTTGATCTCAACATTATAGAAAACCGACTTGAAAATAATCATTGTCGATCAATACACCTAGGTATGTTCATGGACATGTCATAGACTAATGCCGAATATCACAGGTTGAAATCATGAGGTTTTCCATGGTGGTCTAGCTTCAATTGGCTCACAATTTCAACCCGTGAAATTTCTAAAAAATCTCCACAAAACCCATTCTGATAATAATCAACTGCTCACTAGTGACTGACTTCAGGAGATACTCTGGTGCGTGCTTCTTATATTGATATAAGTAGTATATAACGTGAGTTAAAAGAACGTAATGTCTGGCAGCAGAAGATGGGGGAGATCAAGAAAGGAAGAGCGAGAACACAATGGAATTTGTAAGAAATCGCATGAACAATGAAATATGAAACAATGGATGGATGTTTGCAACAGCAACAGTCCGGTTTGATATGATGGAATGATATTTTGCAAATGAACGATTTACTATATGGTTTTTCTATTTTACCAAGTAACTCTGTAATTTTGTGCTAAATACTATTTGGTTGTCCTCACCTGTGTTCTCCTTCACTACAATACTCATGGAGTTCTAGTGAGAAGCCGTTACCAGTAAAGTTCAACCAGGTCTGTTTTGAGATATCAGCTCACTGAAGACAATGGTGTGCGGTGGCGCAACTTCGTGGATTGGTTGAAGTTAGACATTAACACCGTTGGATGCCGGCTCAGTGGTCTAGTGGTTAAGTGCTCGCGCGCGAAACCAGTAGGTCCTGGGCTCGAATATCGCGAGCTGCGGGATCGTGGATGCGCACTGCTGAGAGTCCCATACTAGGACGAAACGGCCATCCAGTGCTTCCAGGCTTTTCATGGTGGTCTAGCTTCAATTGACTCATGATTTCAACCTGTGAAATTTCCAAAAAATCTCCACAAAACCCATTCTGATGTCAAATTGCCTGAACGTCTCCATTAGTCTCAACTAATAATAACTGAAAGTCATGGCAAATTATAACTTCGAGGTAAATGCTCAATCCCGTTTGGTGGCAACTAAAGGTTAACAGGCTTTCTAAAAATTGGTTAAAAGGACAGTAACAACTGTCTAAATACCCCTAGTCAGATCCAAACAACTTAAACGTTTACAGCTCCTACTTCCTAGCTAAACAGGTGAACTGGATCTTACGGGAGAAGTACGGAAGATTGCTACCTGAGAAATCTGGGAGATGACCAGTCTGTCTTACGATAAGCGGCTTTGGAAGTTAGATCGTTCTACATCATCGTGCTGTGAACTGCGTATGACTTGAAAGACAGTAAACGACTTTGGATTCGCCACATCTTGTCTCTTTCTTTCAACTAAATCACAGTAAATCAGAGTATACATCAGTTTAGTACAGGAGTCAAGAGCACACGATTCATGCGGTATATACGTTTTCCGCATTGAACAATAAACTTTCACAACTTGTTACCAAAAGACCTAGTTCCTTCAATTCTACGTAGCTTATTAAAGAAAAAACTAGGAAAATAGGGCGCCAAAATACAGAAGAACTTGTAGTGGAT